AAGAAAGCTTCAGAGATTAACCCTGATTCCAGGTACAAAACTATGGAAGAATGACCTGATATTGTCTTTCTTTCACCTTATTAACTAGTGTAGGCTTAGTATCTGATTTTCTTGTGTGTGTGTAATAATCCAGAAATTCTGGACTTTCTTATCTTGTGTGCATATGTGCTGAAAGATATTTACATGAATTCCTGAGATTACTTATTTTCTCAAAATAAGACAAAATTGATATAAAGTACTAAACTTCTTTTTTATTCTTACTCTTGTCTTTCTTGGTAATCAAATAAAGCCTTATTTGACAGGGTCCCAGAGATAATCTTTTGGCATATACCAAGTCGTGCTTATAAGAAAGTTGCTCCATTGTTCTGGATACACAAGCCTTGTGTGGGTTCGATTAACAAAGAGAAAGTAGCCACTCAAGAAGCTGAAACGGGCATCATGAAACTTTTGGTTGAAAGGGTTTCTGCCAAGGTGAGGTCAAATGTTTTTCCCTCCCATGAAAATTTACCCTGCATAGGTGTGATCAAAGATGAGCATGCTTATCCTATATACATGCTCCTGAGTAGGACACATCCTGTAAATTTTAAAAGGGGTACAGTGTTCCGGTAATGACAAACAAATCCGTGTAAAAGCACAGGCACACACACCCTCTGACCAACTTTAACATCCTACCTCACCTGCTCTGAGTTAGAATACTGCTTTAGAAATTTGGAAAAGCTTTCATGAAAATCTTCAACAATGGTGAATTTTTGTGGATGTAACCAATCATGAAGTGTTTTCATTGTTAGTCTATGAACCTGGAATTGCAAATTCCTTGAACTTGAACTTAGCATAGAACAATTGAAGACATGAAGATCTCAAGAAACCAAGAGATGTAAAGATCAACTCATATGCAGACTTGCTTCAGCCAAAGGATGCAATCGTCAACTCTAGGAGGCATTAGGCTGAGTATAGGATTTACTAATTTTGTTTTTTAGGTTTTATCTTGTACTCCAGGGTCACTTTGGACTAAAATGGAGGCATAGTTGGAAAAGAAAAGACCCAAAAAGACCGAACCTTCTCTCAGCTATTCAAGGTAATTCCATGCCCCATTTGTGCATTGTTAGGCACAAAGAAAACACCTAAATCACTCACTTTAGATATTGCGAAACTTGATAGGGATATCCAAGTTATGCTGACTGAGTCTGCCCTGGTTGTGAAAACCAGTGGCTAGCCACCTGTGCCTGAGGGTGTTGATGTTTAGGTTTTTGGTTTTCTTTTTCAAGCTCTAGTTTGTTAAAGTTCTTGTTAATCCTAGAGTTAATAAAACCCAGATTTGAGTTGTGTTTTGTTGAAGTTTTTTGTTGATCCAGTGTGAACAAAACTAAATTTAGTTTCAGATTGTAAGCATCTCTAGGTTAACTCATAAAACCCATTTAGTGAATTAGGATTCAGATAAGCCAGCTGTGTGGCTGGTAGTGGACTGTGGACATAGGCAGTTGGTCGAACCATTTTACTACTTTTTGGCCAATGTGTTTGTTAAAGCACTATTGTGTACTTTAAATATTGCTTTTTGCATGCTATCAAAAATTGATATTCGTTTGTTCTAGAGACTCTGTTGATTTGTCTCTCTCACTGTATGATAGGTAAATGATAATCGCCTTCTGCTTTCTTGTATAAAATCTGTCAATGCAAGTATCATTGTACCATTTGTTTGTGCCAAAAGAAATAAAAAAATCGCATATTGATACTTCTTAAAGTTAATGTTCTAATCTATTCTAAATTCTTGACAAAATTTCTCATTCTTGATCCATGTAATTGACAACAGTCCATGGGGAAAGAATGAAACTCGCAATCTTCTTACATGCTTGGACTGGAATTCCTGTAAATGTTATAATCTTGCGCCCTTCTTTACTATATTTTTTTTTCTCATCAACTGAAGAGTTGTCGACTCTGTCATCTCCAAACTGTTTGTTTACTTTTGGTCTCAAGTTTTGGTTCTTTCTGCATCTTGTTTTATCTCGCCGGTTGGATTTGGTTTATATGCTAATCTTAGTGGTTTTTCTTCTTCTCCTACCTTGAAGTACCCTATCTGAATCTGTCACCAGAACTTATAGAATGGTGAAACTATACGACAGTCAGATGATTTTAACTTGATCTTTACATTAACACTATACTTACATGATTAAAAATGTCAATGAGTTGGGTTTTCTGAAGCTGTAATAAGTTTATGAAGCTTCATATGAAGCTATGGATTTGATTATTGGGATTTACATTTTTTTTCCTTGGGGTTGTGGCAGGCAGTATTTGTAGGACACAACCATGGATTGGACTGGTGCTGCCCTTATGAAAAACTGTGGCTATGCTTTGCAAGGCATACTGGTTATGGTGGCTATGGAAACTGGGATAGAGGGGCTAGAATTGTGGAAATCACCCAGCAGCCTTTCTCTATTAAATCTTGGATAAGAATGGAGGATGGTAGTGTACATAGTGAAGTTGTCTTGAGCCCATTCATCAACAGAGACAAAAGTATGTAAACTTTCAAACAATACAATTAAAGAACATAAAATAAGTGAAAAATAATAATAATAAACCCATTCATCTTTTTTTCTTTTTTCTTTTGCAGTCTAAACAAGTTGTATTATTTTCATCAAAAAGAAAAAAAGAGGCTGTATTATCAGATTCAAGACAGTTTTGTATTAAAGCAAAGAATTAGTGGACCACCAAAGCATGCAAGAGGGTCATACCACACAATAATTGGTTCACATGTACAACATTTTCATACTAATTAACCCAATAAAAATCATTAATATAAAATAAAAGAGAAGTAAAAGTTTTTTTTATATTTATAATTTGTATTTATTTTCTGGTCCTTGGAACATAAATCAATCCTCCGCCGTTCCCAATGCTTGGTTGATGTTAATGTTAGGTGTCGCATAAAATTTTAAATATTGAGGAAATGAAGCAATGCATGCATCAATATTGTTGGCAAATGCAGGCTGTGCATGGAACTATAATGACAGTGATGTTATGCTATTATGACATGTTTCTTTTCCTCTTTAGATAACTGATTCAGAGATGCATTCTCAATTCAATAATGTCATGCTTTCTTACATGGTCAACTTCTTTATCCTAAAACTGATGATTAGTTGACCCATGGTTTCAAATATTTTCATGTTCTTTATAGAAAACATAAACAAAGATATCTATCTTTAATAGCAGTTGGATTTTAATATGGGCTAGTTGTCTTCTAACTAAATCAACAATGCATCTAGTTATACAGGAATAAAATGTATAATATTAGTATTAATTTTTTTATTTATTACAAGTGATAGTTTAAATTATAAGAGAGAGGGGCCGGGGTTTCTCACACACATATTATCAAGGTGTTCTGTGTATTCGAACTTGAGACCATTGGCATTGCCGTGAATAGATAAGATCTAGAGTAGACTCAAAATGAAAACAAACAATAAACATATAGCAAACTAGATAAATGAAAATAACAATTATGAGAACTTTGGTGGATTTTATTGGTACAATTTTTTATCAATCAGTTGAGGGAACTAATAATCTGATAAATTACGTTACTTAAAATTGAATTATCAGTTTTCAAGGAAAGCAAAATTTTATTCAAAGTCATCTCAGAAAAAGGGCCATTCTATTTTATTTAGGACAACTCATTGATAAAGTCCAATCTAAGCAAAGCAAAAGTTGCACAAAATTCTGCATTTGATAAAGTCTTGAATCATGGACGTTGAACAGCTCAAAAGCTACTTTGGTCTCACTTTGGGAGGATCAGGGATGAAGGCGAAAGTTCTAATTTGACAAGTCAAAACTCGTTCACATAGTCACAACATGTGGTGGTGCCTCAAGAATTAAAAGTAAGGGGACCAATCTTTTTAATTATAGAATAGAGGCCCCATTTGCATTTCATTGTTGTCAACTACTTAATCCATTCTCGGACCAAGAAACTCTAATCCTTGAAGTTCTCTAATCACTTGTTGTCAAGTACTTAATCCAGTTTGTATGTCACTTACTAATTGAGATTAAGAAGCTCTTTTTGGAGGCTTGAAATTGATATGAAAAATGGTACATGTGAAGACAATAAGTTTACCCCTTAGGTCGATACGTGGGAAACCAACACAACCTTAATCACGCATTGATTAGGAGCATACAACATCGTTCACACGAGTAAGCAGAGCATCATGTCTCTACCATTAAATGTAATGAGTCTAAGAACCCTAATTCTTGTTTTTGTTTGTTTAACCTAAGCATTGGAGACTCTTTGATTCAAACCACACCGGTGTGCAAATGACTTGATTGTATTTCTCTTTGGTGTCGGATCATAGAAGAGATTTCATATAGCATGTGGAATCTGTATCCCACAATACACTTTCAAGCATATATATGGTTATATTTTTTCTTGGTGGAGCTATTTGTTAGGGAGTTTGGATTAATACATTAAAAAGGCCTACGAGGCCAAGTCGTCAAAGTTACCTCAAATGGCGAGGAAGGATGAGGTAACGAGTTATCTTCTAAACAAAAGGAGGGAGAAAAGACTTGTTGTGTCATGCATGCTTTTGGCATAACTGCCACTCAAGCTTGACAACAGATTAATTCTAAGGCTTGCCCTATTTTTGAGCTTCTATTGCACTTGTGAGTGCACCAAAGTATAAAATATTTCTTTAGAAATGCATGCAAGAGATGGAATGTGGAGAGCAGTATTAGTGTCACCCAATTATTATAGCCATTTAACTATAATCATTATTTTCCACAGATTTTTGGCCTTGCACATGTTAGACTTTCATAAATCATTATAATTAATGCTATGTTATAGAGGTCGTATCAGTAATTTCATGAATAACAACATTTAGACTCGTCAATAGCAGTTGTTGTGGAATTGACAGGGGAGAGAGAGAGAGAGAGAGAGAGGGCCCTAGTGAAGCTAAGCCACCATTAGAAAAGAGTCATAGTGTGCACAGTTTCTATTAATAGTGCTTGTTTTCATACTCTCTCTCTCTCTCTCTCTCTCTCTCTCTCTCTCTCTCCCTCCCCCTGTATGCTATTGATTTTTATGTTTGAAAGCAAAAACCATGGAACACCTACCGATATATCAAAACAATGAAAATCCCATTTGGAGTATCATAAGTAATGGTGATAGTTTTATACTTTTAAGAGGTTTTGAGTGTTTTTGGTATCAGAAACTGTGGAAAATATGAGTCTTTAAGCTTTCAAGTATATATCATGATTCATGAGATAGTATTTGTTCAAGTTGTTATGTACTTTTGGCATGTAAATATATATATCTTTTCCTAAATTGCAGGAAATGCCTGAAGAATATAGGACGATGTTTGACATATTGGATTAACATGGTCTTAATAGTAGATCAATGGCAAAGAAAAAGGGCTGGTTTGGTTGGGTGAAGAGGTTCTTTACTTCTGAAGCAAAGACGAGGACACAAAAGGTTGGTGAATTTAAACTCTTCCTTCATTGCCTTAACATGCTTAACTGCTTATCAATGGCCCTCTTTTGGGTAATGTTAATTAGTCCTGTTAATCTCCAGAAATCAAATCACTGGAGATGGATTTTTCGAAGACTTGAAGTTCTTCATCAATACCCTGCACAGGCTGCACTGACAGCACCAGAGAGGACACTACGTGAAGCTACGGAAGAGCAGAAAAAACATGCTTTAAATGTTGCAATGGCGACAGCAGCTGCAGCTGAGGCAGCAGTGGCTGCTGCCCATGCTGCAGCTGAGGTTGTGCGCCTTACTTCACAACCTTACCACTATTTCACAAAGTTTGACAGGAATTTGGCTGCCATTAAAATTCAAAGCGCTTATCGGGCACATCTTGTGAGCTTCTTGGAAACTTTACTCTTACATAAATACTCTGTTCATAGTCAGGCAGCTCAAAGAGTTGAATATATATTAACCATTTGTAAGTGAGAAAAATACATATAAATACGTGTGCATATTATATATATATTTAGTGTAATTTAAGGCAAGACCAAATAGATATATTTTTTAACCTTCAATTGATCATCTGCATCTCCTAAACATAGGATGGTAACAGAGCTTTTCTGAGTTCTTTCCTGATTTGAATGTAAATTTCTCCAGTCATTGGCACTGAATTTAAGTATTTCAAATGGCCGCCATTTCTAATGCAGCTGTATATACACCATTACCTAAATCAAGCTGACCTTATATATAGCTTAAAGATGGTTCTCTAAATTTTCATTGTGAAAAACTCATTTGATATTTTTCTGACTTTGCATCCAATTTTATTGGCTGAATTCATAAGCACTTAGCTGAATGGGATAAGCAGTCGCATTTAAGTTGTATAACTGATTGATTTTTTTTTTTGGTTTACCTTTCTAAGTTCTGACAAGATAGCCGGAAGCTCTATGAGTCTTAGATCATAAAAGCTGGGCCCTTGGTTTGAACTTTGAAAATATAACTCAGTCAAATTGATTTATGTCCTTGAAATGTGAAAGCTGAATTTGACATTTATCGGCAATGAGGAAATCACCACTCCTCTGTAGCAAGGTCTAAAACTTTTAAGTGATACAGGCAAGGAAAGCATTGCGAGCCTTGAAGGGACTGGTGAAACTTCAAGCCATAGTTCGTGGCAGAGCTGTGAGACGCCAGGCAGCTACCACTTTGAAGCGTTCACCATCCAACAGAAGAGGTCAGGCAGAGATTTGGAAAAGGAGCATTCTAGCTGCAGATGAGGGATGCAATGACGGCGAAAAGAAACAGCTCAGCAGCCCACAAAGGGAGTTTGAAGAAAAAGAAGCGACAGTAAGTGAGATGATTCATATGGACATAGAATTGCTAATTTCATTGGTATATATAATAGGGGAGAAAATGTTAGTTTAATGTCATTGTTTATTAAAGTTGGAACCATTTCTGTGAAGAACAGTTTTGGTGGTAAATCCTGCAGTCATTGCCTGATATAGTTCTTCATTCTGTTTTCTTTTTTTCTTTTCAATGGGAGAGTTCTTCATTCTTAATTGTACTTCTGAATAGATCCTAATATAATTTGACTTCATAAAAGCCACATAATTCCTGAGTCCTTATTTGATTTACTGAAGATCTTCGTTATGGACAGCTTGAATGCAGCAGCCAGAGAGGGTGGGATTGCAGTATAATTTCGAAGGAAGACATGGAAGCCATTCGGCTAAGAAAGCAAGAGGCCATGATCAAAAGAGAGCGGGTGAAGAAATACTCATTTTCTCTACGGGTACTTTAATCTGAAATCATCTGAATTTCTCGTTTAAGATGAATTCAAATAAAAAGACAGGAAAACTTATGACAAATCCAAAATGCTGTCAAAGTTCAAGCAATTCTTTTTCATTTTATTGTCAGCCATTTCCTCTTCTAACATCTATCTACCTTGAGCCATAATTATTGTCTTTTTCAGGAAAGCAGAAATGTTCAAATGCTAGACGATTCAATGATCGACAACGCAACTGAAACACTAACCGTTCATTCAAATCTAAGTGGTTGTACTGATGGAAAGTTTGGAGGATCACAAGTTAAACTGAGACATGTGAGAAATGAAGATTCAAGGGAAGGATTGAGTCCACAATTTCAATTATTACCAAGGAGATCATTTTGCAATGCAGAAGAGAACAATTCTGCTCAACACCAGCATGACAGATTGATGACATCTTCTGCAGTTCTTCCAACTTACATGGCCGTGACAGCATCTGCCAAGGCGAAGACAAGGTCGCTAAGCACCCCGAAGCAACGCCTAGAATTCCAGGATCGAAAGTACTCCAATCATAGCTTTTCACACAACAATGGGCTTTCTCTTTGTTCTTCATATGATGCTGAATCTATTGGGAAGTATAGTAAGAATGGATGGGGTTCATTGGCAGATATATTCAAGCAATATCACCATTAACAAGTCTGTGAAGTTAAGAAGTCAACTTTTGTTGTGGGGATCAATGGGAAGTTCAGTATTAACAGCGATTTGAAAACATCTATGAAAAAGAAAAAATCTTCTAAAACTTTGCTCTGAGTACTGGTTTTACAAGTGGCTGAAGTTCATATTTGGCGAAATTTTCAAAGGTGAAGATGCATTTATTGACCCCTAAATACTTCATTAGCAAGAAAGATTTCAACAAGTTGTTCGAAAAGGCATTTGCAATATCTCTCATTGCTGGTAATGCTCATTTTATACTTGTCATAGGACTTAATTTCTTATTCTTTTTTGGAGGATTTGGTGTTAGGAGTTTCCTGTAAGATGATAATGCAATGAAAAAGCAATGGTTTGTATTGGAGTGCAATTAACATCTCCCATCTCCCTTTACTTTTACATGGCCAAATATTTATAAACATGGCATTTAATTTTAGAGTGAGCTAAAATGGGATTGATGCTAGAAGGAAACATAATTAAAGAGCCAATCTGTTGCTGCCCACTTCCTCATATGATAGGAGAAATTATACAATAGTAAAATATTACCACGTGGCACTTGCCAGGTGGTAATACGCTCCTATAATATGGTGACACTTGGATAACAACTACTGAAAAAAAAGCGGAACTAACATCCGTTTAATATTGGTCTGGATGCTTCTACGGTCTGTCTGTCTTTTTTGCCTCAAATACTGCATAGCTTTCATCCGTCTTTGGATCTCTCGAGAAGCCATGGCTATGGAGTTTTTCATTCAAGCCACTGGGATCTCTCAAAAAGCCATTAACTCTCATAATTTCTTTCAACATCAAAAAAATCATCAAAATTTATTTTAGATTTTTAATTATACACGCATAAAATCGCAACCCATATTGTTTGAGCCTACCAATTAACAAACACCAACCCAAGCAATTGCAAAAGACGATGGACTCAAGAACAAATTCGAAGCAAAGATCCTAAAATTACCCCCCGTTTGCCTGGAAAGAAAAAGAAATTCAATGTTTTCCTTTACTAACACCCAAGAACAAACTGGGGGAAGATAATAATTTCTTAAAATTTTATGAAATAAAAAAAACGGAGAAGAAATTAAGAGGTTTTATGAAAATCTGATGGCACCAGCACCAACATAGCCACTCCTCAAGGAGTCAAATGAATCTTGCAGAAATGGAAGTCGTTGGTGATGGATAAAGATGGGGAAGTTTCATTTCATGGACGGTGACGTTAACGTTAATATAAAACAAAACGTTAATTATCTTTGTTGGAGCTGTTGTCCATATGTCGTCGTCTTATAGGTGCGTACTACCACCTGGCAAGTGCCATGTGGTAGTACCGTACTATTGTATAATTTCTCATAAGGTAGAGCATATATCAATTACATTTCACCAATGTCAACCCAAGAGTTACGGGTTAAAACAGGTCATAGGTCCATTATAAACCTTCATTGTATCGTAAGCAAAGTAGAAGGCCTAATAAGGCAAGGATTAGAGAGGTTGATGAGATCCCAAAGGGTGCAAATAAACTTAGATATGGTATATTATAATGCATTGCTAAGAGTTGTGGAGAGGAATAGGACATAATTCAACTGACTGTGGAAGAAAGCAGTTCAATGGGAAGAGGAAGATGATGAAGTGCAAGAGTAAGAAGTTCAATGGGAAGAGGAAGGGAAGTTGCAAGCAGCTCAACCCAGCAATCTCCTAAGAAAGGCTAAGCTTTAAAGGTTGCTTTCTTTATTATGATTTGGTTGATTACTTTGAGATAAATTCAAGCGAGAGCACATTCTCTTCCACTAATTCACGAATAAAATGGTGACGAATATCAATGTGTTTTGTGCGAGAGTGTTGAACTGGATTTTTAGAGATATTAATAGCACTCATATTATCACAATACGATACCATTTTACCTTGCCGTATGCCATAGTCATTGAGCATTTGTTTCATCCATAACAACTGTGTGCAGCAGCTTCCAGCAGCTATGTACTCGGCCTCAGCAGTGGAGAGAGAGACACAATTTTGTTTCTTGCTAAACCAGGAGACAAGGTTGTTGCCTATGTAAAAACATCCGCCAGTTGTGCTCTTCCTATCATCAATATTGCCTGCCCAATCCGCATCAGAATAACCTGCAAGTTCAACATTTGAGTCAAATGAGTAGTATACACCAAAGTTTGTAGTGCCACTTACATAGCGGAGAATTCTCTTCACAGCAAGTAGATGTGATTCTTTGGGGTCGGATTGGAAACGAGCACAAAGTCCAACACTGAAGGAGATGTCTGGTCTGCTAGCAGTCAAATATAGCAAACTGCCAATCATGCTTCTGTATAATTTTTGGTCTACACTTTTGCCATGGGAGTCCTTGGAAAGTTTAGTGCTTGTACTCATAGGATTGGCAGATTCTAGACCAAATTTGGACACCAGATTTTTAGCATACTTTGTTTGAGAGATGAACATTCCACCATTGAATTGTTGGACCTGCAAACCAAGAAAAAAATTTAGTTCACCAAACATGCTCATCTCAAATTTGGTTTGCATTACCTCATGGAATTCTTTGACAAGGATGTCAGACGTAGATCCAAAGACAATATCGTCCACATATACTTGAGCAACCATTAAATCCTGTTTGGTTTTCTTCACAAAGAGGGTTTTATCAATGCTACCATGTGTGTACCCTTTTTGGAGAAGATGAGTAGACAGTCGATCATACCATGCTCTCGGGGCTTGTTTGAGTCCATAGAGAGCCTTTTTCAGACGATATACATGATTGGGATGAATAGGTTTTACCTGCAGGTTGTTCCACATAGACTTCCTCTTGTAAGACACCATTTAGAAACGCACTCTTGACATCCATTTGATGGAGCTTGAACCGAAGATGGCATGCAATGGACAGCAACAATCGAACAGATTCTAAACGCGCAACGGGAGCAAAAGTCTCATCAAAATCCAAACCTTTAACTTGAGTATAACCTTGGGCAACAAGTCTAGCTTTGTTGCGCATGATTTGCCCTTTCTCATCTGTCTTATTTCGAAAGATCCACTTGGTACCAACTACATTGGAGTCTTTGGGACGTGGAACAAGATACCACACGTCATTTCTCTTGAATTGGTTTAACTCATCTTGCATAGCCAATATCCAGTCATTATCTGCAAGAGCATGCGTCACACTTTTAGGTTCAACCAAGGATACATAACATAAATTAGTTACCTCGTCACAAACTTGCTGTCTAGTTCTCAATTTGTCATGAGCATTCCCTATAATATCAGAGGGTGAGTGATCTTTCTGAACTTGTTTAGCACCAGGTCTGCGTATCACAGGATTGAAGGGCTGGTTACAATCCTCGAAATCAGTTTCAGTAACATCAGCAGATTCATGAGTTTCCAGATCTATATCTTCATGACTTGTTCCAACCTGCAATATAGAGGCGTCATTTACAACCACATTAGCTGATTCCATTATTGTTTTAGTACGACTATTAAACACCCTATACCCTATATGCTCGACTATTCATAGAGTAACCAAGAAAAATTCCAACATCACTTCTTGCATCAAATTTTCCAAGATACTCCCTGTCTTTGTAGATGTAGCATTTGCTACCAAAAGTCCTTAAGTGCTTGACATTTGGTTTCTTCCCTTTCCAAATTTCATACGGAGTACTCTTTGTATGTGGCCTGAAAAACACACGGTTAGATGTATAGCATGCAGTACTAATGGCTTCAGCCCAAAAATGATCTGCCAATTTGGCACTTTTTAACAAGACACGAGCCATGTAGAGAAGGACTCTATTTTTCCTTTCAGCTACCCCATTTTGTTGGGGAGTGATTGGAGCAGAAAATTCATGTTTTATTCCTTTTTCAGAACAAAAATCAGAGAAAGCTTGATTTTCAAATTCCGTTCCATGATCTGTCCTAAGTCTTATGATGCACGGATTAGTCTCATGTTTTTCATTCATGATTAGTTTGTACAAGACATGAAAAGAATTAAAGGCTTCTGTCTTATCATGCAAAAATATGACCCAAGTAAAACGTGAGAAATCATCCACTAAAACAAGAATGTATTTCTTTCCTCCCAAGCTAGCAACTTGTATTGGACCAACTAAATCCATATGCATCAGTTCCAAAGTTTTAGAAGTAGAGATTGAGTTTGTAGTTTTGTGAGGGTTTTTGGTTTGCTTCCCCAGTTGGCACCCTTCACAAACACCCTCACGTCTACCTGAAAGATTAGGCAATCCTCTTACATATTCAGATTTGGATAATTTGATTAAGTCTTGAAAGTTCATATGTCCCAAACGTTGATGCCATAAATCAAGATGATCCTCACTTGTCCTAAAACACACTTGAGAAACTTCATTAGTGAAAAAACAATAGCAATTGTCAAGTGATCTTTTTCCAATCATCACATTTGATCCATCTTTATTATTGACAATACATTGGGTTTTAGTAAAACTTACCTCACCTATTTCATCACAAAGTTGACTTACACTGATGAGATTTGCTTGAAGATCTTCAACTAGCAAGACATTGCTTAGACTAGGTGTGCCAATTGCCATAATTGTTCCTTTTCCCAAAATCTTGGATTTTCTTCCATCTCCAAAAGTAACCATTCCACTCACACATTCTGTAGAGATTTCGGAAAAGCATGATTTGTCACCGGTCATGTGTCTTGAACACCCACTGTCAAAATACCAAGATTTAGATTTAGAGTCAGAAAGCGCAGTAAGAGCAACAAAATATTTCACATCTAAGATTTCAGGAGCATTAGTTTGATGTGTATTACTTGAAAGTGCCAGCAAGGAATTTTGTTTGTCCTTTCTCCTCCACACTAGAGTTGAATTTGGTAAAGATAACGAATGGGAGAGTTTTGACAACCTAATTACCTCTTTTACAAGATATGCAATCTTGTGTTGAATTCTTACCTGTCCCTCCTTGGTGGATTTTGCACTTACTGACATTTGTTGGAGCAGTTTGCATTTTGGTCGGATATGTCCAAGAGCTCCACAATAGTGACATGTGGGTATGAATCTCTGAGTTGTTTGAGAAGTTGGAATACCAGTAGAAAGTGATGGTTTGACAAACTTCGTGACGGATACAGCAGAAGACTTGTTGATTGAATCAAAACCTAAGCCACGTTTGTCTCCATCTCTTCGACCAATGCTAATCATTCTGTCAATTTTTTCTGCACCAATTGTCAAAGCAATAATCCTTTCCTTTGAACTTTTAAGCTCAATTTCAAGGGCTTGATTGTCAGAGGTCAAGGAATCAATTAGTTTATTTTGATCAATGCATTTTTTTTGTAATATTTCCAATTTTTCACACATACCTTTGCCCATTGTT